TTCTAAGTAAAGCTTCTCTAGTAAGTTTACTTAAACGTATATCTTAATAGATTTATTAATAATCTCTTATCTTATATACTTAGTACTACTTATAAGTTCCTTAGTATATAATAAGAGATTCTCTACTTCTATCTCTTCTCTTATAATCTATTTCTTATACTTTAATATACTTTAAATAGCTATAACTAAGGTATTATTATTATACTAAATAATATAGACTAATAGTTTATATTAATACTTAATCTAACGCTTAAAGTTCTCTAAGATTAGTATAATATAGCTAGCTAACTTACTTAGTAATATATAACTAAAAAGCTTTCTATTATACTTATTCTTAATAATAAGTAGCTAGTAAGTACTATTATAACTTATATTAAAATTAAATAAGTCTTAGAGAATTTAGTAGAATAGCTTAGCTACTTTATTCTCTAACTCCTATCTTAATATAATATTTCTAGTATATATAATAGCGTAATCTTTATACTATATTCTTAATACTCTATTAAATTATACGCCTCTCCTTACTTTAAGTAGCGCCTATAAAGTACTTTCTTCTAAATAGCTAGTATATAAGTACTATAGTTATAGAGTTATAAAATACTCTTTAAGTAGTTAATATAATAATTAGAAACTTTACTTATTTAAGTTATAACTTAGAGTTAAGTATATTATAATAAGTATATATATTAAGGTTACTAAGTTATAAAAGTAATAAGAGTATCTGAAAAACTTATATTTAAAGAAAGTTAAGTTGAACTTTTAAACTAGCTATTTAATAACTATATTTATTTAAACTTCCTTATACTATAAGGTAGTATCTTTCCTTAAGTACTATAGGCTAATATCTTTTAGTAATACCTTTAAGATAATATTAATATAGAAATTATAAACTATAGTAATATTATTAAGTAATAAGTCTTAAGTATTCGGATTATTTAGCTTAGCTAAGGAGTTCTTAAACACTTACTTCTCTCTACTAACTATTAGAATTTATTATATTCTAGCTTCTATATAGTTATTATTATTTAATCTCTTAAAAGAACTTAGAACTAGTTTACTCTTATAGTTTACTAGGTACTAAGTGTTATAGTTATTTACTAAGGTACTCTTTAATAGTATATAAGAGATATTAATAAAGTCTATAGTATAGATTCCGAGTATCTCTTTAAAGTCTAAAAGCTTTAAATTAATAGTAGCTATATTAATATTTCCGGGGTACTTTCTTTTAATATACTAAGATAATAAGTCTTAGTCTTTACTAGACTTCTTTCTAATAATCTATATAACTAAGATAATAGCTTAACTTTCCTTTAAGATCTCTTAGCGTAATTCTATATACTTAAGTATCTAAGTTACTTTATAAATCCTTTTAATTTACTTATTATTTAGACGGAATCTTATACTATTAGCTTAAAAGCTATTATAAGCGAACTAGAGCTTCTAGCACCTAATTAGAGGGTACTAATATCTAATTCCGTAGAGGTAACTAGTCTTCCTATCTTCTTAATTTAAATAAGAGCGATTCTAAGAGCTTCCGGAATAATCTTATAAGCCTCTTATATTAGAATAACTACCTAGTATTAGCGTAGCATAGAAACTATTAGCTCTCTTACTTCTATTCTAGTAGTATTCTTCTATATTCATTATAAATACTAGACTATACTCCTCTAGTATTATACTATATTAATATCCTAGAGTATTATTTCTTATAATATTAGTAAGTACTTAAGCGGCCTAAGTCTCTAACTAAACTAATACTATATTTAAGAAAGCTTATATACTATATACTCCTTATATATCAGGAATATTATACGTTCTTATAAGATAGAAGTTCTTTTATTATAGCTTATACTATATATAAGGTTTAATTCGCGACTTCTTATCTTAATATATTAATAAGCTAAGTATATTAGTATAGTCTGAAATAATAAAAGTTAGTACTACTATATTTAAAAGTACTATATTACACTTAATAGACCTAACTAGCGCTTATAGTCCTACGGCGCTCTTAGTAGTATTTTTATTAATTACGTTAGTTAGAATAGACTAGCTAATAGTACTATTTACTTAGTTAAAGAGATTCTAAATATAGTTATTAAGCGCTATTTATTTAGCTAGCTTATTTAAGTACTCTTTTATTCGAGCTTCTTAGAGTACTTTAATATTTTTAAACTTAGCTTCTAAGAGCTTACTTATAAATACTAGTAGTTCTATTATACTTTTTCTTTCCTTAGTAATAGTAGTATTCTATTTCACTAGTAAATCTAAGTCAGCTTATATTAATAATACTATTTACTTACTAAAGCGACTATTTATCTCCTCTTATATAAAATTATTAATTCTAAAGAGATTCGGTTATTACTTAATAATATTTCTTATATTATTAGAATTAAGATTAATAAATCTCTAGATTCCTTTAAGTTTAGTATAGTACTAGAAAGTTATCTACTACTAAAGCTACTACTTTCTCTAATTAAGAGTATTACTCTTATATTTAATTAACTTATCTTAAAGGTATATTAATATATTAAAGAAGCTTTTTATAGAACTAATAGTATTAAGAGTATTTTAGGAAGTTTAGAGAGGTATTTAAAGGAGTTCTTTAAGTAGTAGTATAAGTATCTCTTAATACTACTTATAACTCTACTTATACTATATAGTATACTTATATAATAGCTTAAATAAGTGAATATAGCTCTTAACTATTATATATTATAAGAAGGAGCTTTATATAGTATAAAAGTCTTAATTTATTAAGGTATTCTAGAGCTCTCTTATAAAGGGAAGCTCTAGGAGTTCTAGTTATATAAGTAGCCTCTAGTTAGCTGGAGCGCCTTAGGGAGTGCCTTAGGTACGCTAGGTGCACGATAAGTAGTTAATAGTACTATCTTTAGGATAAGAGATTTAGTAATAGTAATAACGTTTTAAAAGGTAATAGTAGCTTTTTTTTATAATAACCTAATCTCTACTAATAGTAACACTAGTAAAAGTATGATATTCCTTAGTTATATATACTAAGATCTACTTTTATTAATAGCTAAAGATTATAATTAAAGAGGTTATAAAAAAGATTTAAATAAGAAATACTTATGAGTTTATATTTATCTTTATTTTTTTTATATAATACTAGTACTTTAAGCTAGTATAAGACTCTTAAAATTATATAGTCTCTTACTACTATCTTTTTAATAGTTAATATGTATATAGTACTATATATAAAATATAACTAAAAAAGCATTAAAAAGGCAAGGAATTAGTACTAATTTATATTAATAAAAAGTTTTACTATTATACTATCTTTAAAAATAAGATATATTTACTTTTAAATTACTTAATTTATTTAATATCTCTTAAAGAAATCTCCTAATTATTAAAAATCTCCAAAGTAAATAACATCAATTCTAAACTTATAAGAGTTATTATTATTATTTAATAAGGAAAAGAAAAGGTTTTTAAAAAAAGGCTATCCTTATATAAATATAAATAAATATACTAGACTTAAGCGTAATTTAAATATAATATAATAGTATTTATTATTATTACTTAACAATTACTATTATCTTTTACTTTTATATTATTAACTACTACGAAATAAAATATTAACCTTTTAACTTTTTAAAGCCTTATATTAACTTAATAATAATATTATTTAAATTTTTATAAGTTTATATATATTTTTTATATTTTAAGACGTTGTTTAATAATAGATTATAATTTACTTATATCTTTACTTATTAAAAAAAGTGCCTTTAAATAGTAACTAGATATATTCTAGTTATTAAGTCTTATAAGTCAGATATTTATTACTTTATTATATTTTTAATTCTTTTTATTATATTTATATTCTTTTTTTTTTATAATTATTAGAAACCCTTTGTTTTTAAAAGAAGTTTTACTAGTGTTAGTTTATAGACTTATATTATAAAAATATAAAGGGTAATTAAAGGGAATAAGTAATCTTAGTTAAAGGTAAAACCTCTTTTAAATATAAACTAAAAGCTATTTAAAAAGTAGTATATATTTTAACTTTTAAATACTTTTTATAATACATACTTTTAAATACTTTTAAATTAAACCTTAGATTTTAATATATATTAACATACACTTATTATTTATTTCTTAGTAAGATCCTAACAAAAGTAGAAAAAAGATAAAAAAGATAAAGAAGTAATATATAAGAAGTTAGAAAAAGTAATATTACTTAGCTTAGGTTATATTATCTTAATTAAAAATAATAAACTAAGCTATCTGAACTATAAAGATACCCTCGAATCGTCACACTTATTTTCCTTTATATATAATTTTAATATATAATAATTAATTAACTACTTAGAGAGCCTTAATATTATCGCGTATAATAATATCTTAATATAGATTTCTTCTTACTTTAAATAGTGATTTTTTCATCTTATTTAGAGTATTTATCATATTATAATTAGTATTAACTTAACTTAAGTATAATTCTAAAGCTTTACTTACTAAAAATCCTAATTCTAATTACTAGTAGAATATAATAAATACTTTAGTAAGACTAGAATAGTACTATTTAAAGTATAAATACTACTATAGTATAATCACGTGTGTAATTAAGTAAAGTTGTTATTATTAATTGATAAAAAAAATTGTTATTTAGATTTTGAATTATTAAATTTAACCTATCCTCACCTAACAGCCTAGCCTAGTGTTGCCTCGCTCCCTGTTCTCGCTCCCGATCTCCCCGGTGTTCCTCCAGCCAACCACCTCCCGCGCACCTACAGTCGTCTCCACGTTGGGGTACTTCTACCGCATTCAAGCTGCCTCGACAGATTCTGTACGACACCTGATCGAATTTCCGCGACGACCCCACCGAGAGAGAATATGCGCCTCTGGGGGAGGTATTATCTGAGCAACCTGGCTGCAAGGAGGATTACGAGAGCTCCAACAACCTGAGCGCGCAGTCCAGGCCTCATCCGAGTACACATACACTCGCAGACGAGCTCGCTCTTCCTCTTCCACGCGCAATGTCCCCTCCGCAGTCTGCAGATGGCACAAGCAGGTCAGCCTTGTCTCCAGTGGAGACTAAGCCATATATTCACGATTCAGCCGACTCCTTCACCTACCTCCTCCCTCCGAGGCCGAACCCCTCAGCAGATACCGGACTGGCGATCAAGAATTGCGACGATGTTGGCTCCTCTCCACCATCTCCAAACAGCATGGACGTCTTCACCATCGGTCCTGTGACTGCACTGAAGCTGTTATGTGGAGGCATTGAAGCACTTGTCAGGATCACCGGGGATGTTCCACCGACACCCCCGCCAGCATTTACAACACCTCCTAATATGCGTGGAATGCAGGCCGAGAAGGAAAACATTGCCAGAAGCAATTCATACAAAAATTTTGCTGAGTTGCATAAACGCCCAAGGACACCGTCAGCATCAAGTGGAGGATCGGAGGATATCGATGGAGTAAACTTCAAGAAGACCCCTATAGGCAGCCCGGAAGTTGCCCCATCGCAGCCGTATATTATCATAGGAGACAACGCCGAGCCTCTTAACATCCAGCACGGTGCAATTACGCGGAAATTCTACTCCAAGCATCCACCTCCAATTTCTCTGGAGGATTATTTGATGCGCATCCATAAATTCTGCCCTATGTCTACAGCGGTCTATCTGGCGACGAGTTTCTACATCCACAAACTAGCAGTCGACGAGAGAGCAATACCGGTCACCAGGCGCAACTGCCACCGACTGCTCTTAGCAGGCTTGCGAGTCGCTATGAAGGCACTTGAGGATCTTAGCTACCCACACTCACGGTTTGCGAAGGTCGGAGGGGTCAGTGAGAACGAATTAGCAAGACTGGAGATCAGTTTTTGCTTTTTAACGAACTTCGAGTTCAAGACGAGCAAAGAGACATTGTTGGAGCACGCTATCAGTCTCAAAGAGATCTCGTCACTTCAAGGAGCAGTGCATTTTGTTCCGAGGATGCCGTTAAAGACCAAGAGGAGACCGACTCTTACCACTGTAGGAGTACAGGAAACAAAGCAAGAAGTTACAGCGGATGCATAGATTGCCATGGTTCGTTAGAGCATGCGCTCGCGCTTCAACGGCCTTTGGGCCCTTTACGCACAGAGAGGGAAGATCCAGCAGATTCCTTGGCCATTTTTACTTCAATTTTAAGAGGCGGCTTGCTTATTTACTGGTTAGTGAACACCAGCATGGACTGAGATATGATTGAGAGGAAGGATATTAGTGGGTCTTCCTGCGCCCTACTTCTCACAAGGGGTTTGGAAATATCTGACGCGTAGGATTTCTTTGATTTGCATCTGCGTTTGCATACCCCGGGCGAGATCGATTCCGGAGCTTGGCGTTCGGGTGGTAGGTCAGAATGGACGTTGCCTGCTAGCAGTTGAGAAGGCTTGCTACCTACCTTAGGCAAGGCACCCAATAATACGTAGGTAGTCATAATTATGAATATTAACATGCGGACTCTGTCCGATTCGGTCGAAACATGTTCCATGGCACTGCTCAAGTAGGCGATGTGAGTCACTCTGCAACTTCACCCCATATCTCTGTAGGTATACAATGGAATCTTGGAAGGGCTTACCTCAGGTACCTTCAATTGTACCTAAATTACCTACCAGGTAGGTAAGGTAAATATCCCAACCATGTATCACGTGCTGCTGCAGGTACGCCGCGCTTGTTTGACCACCCCACCTGCCTGAAGCGGAATCGTGGTGTTTAGCAAGACCCGACTCGAGCGACTTTCCATCACGAACGTGTTCACCTCATGCCACCTTACTTCCTCTCGTAGCACAGATAAGGTAAGTCGCGCCAAAGACTGATCAGGTATTTCTCATAAGCTGACCACCTCGGCCGACCAGCGATTCGCTGTACGCCAGGAGGCTCACCACCTTCACTTGGACGGACCTGGACTCTTAATGACCCCACTCAGCAGCATCCAAGATTCCCGTCCCGTCGCTTCCTCGCTTGCAGCTTCCTCGCCCTGAGTCTCGCCATCGAAGTCGAAGCTACTACACATTCTCAGATCCTCAACGATGGCTAACGTCGACACTGTTCTTGCTGGAAAATATCCAGCTAGAGCCCACGCTAAAGCGGTTGTGAAGTGGATGAGACAGAAGAACCCCAATGTCACCGGCGTTTTATATCTCGAGGGCCAGAAGACTCGAATGATCGAGGATAACGACAGCGAGGCACCTTTCAGGTCAGTGCTCCTCCTTGTTGTTGAAGTGAGCCGAACTAGTACCGGGGTCTAGGACTAAAATGCGGTTTCAGACAACGACGATACTTCTATTATTTGACAGGTTGTCAGCTTCCTGATTCATACTTCACTTACGACATCGAGACTGAAAAGTCGACACTTTTCATTCCTCCCATTGAGCCCGAGACTGTCATTTGGTCTGGACTTCCGGTTTCGGAAGAGGAGGCGTTGTCCAGCTACGACGTTGACAATGTCCGCACAACAGATGAGGTGGCCGCTGCGCTTGCTCATGGTGGATCTATTGTCTGGGCAATCCAAGACCAAGTTAGCGACCACATTACCTTCCTTGAATTTGACGATAAAGACTATACTCTTCTCAAAGTAGCTATCGAGGAGTGTCGAGTCATCAAAGATGAGTACGAGATCGCCTTGACGAAGAAGGCAAACAGCATCAGCACCATTGCCCACACAGCAGTCTTAAAAGCTGTGAAGACTGCCACGAATGAAAGGGAGCTGGAAGCGCTCTTCATTCAAAAATGTATCGCAAATGGAGCAAGGGAGCAGGCGTATCACTCTATCGTTGCCAGTGGAACTGCAGGAGCTACATTGCACTATGTGAACAACGCCCAGCCGTTGGCAGGGAAATTGAACCTCCTGCTAGATGCCGGTGGAGAGTATCAATGCTATGCTTCTGATATTGTAAAACTCCTGAGCTTGGAAACGAAGTGAGCTGACCAGGAGCAGACGAGAGCCTTCCCAATCAACGGAAAATTCAGCACCGAGAGTAAGGCCATCTATGATGTTGTCTTAAAAATGCAACTTGTTTGTATCGAGATGCTCAAAGAGGGGGTCATCTGGGACGACGTCCACCTCAAAGCACACGAAATTGCCATCAATGGCCTCCTTGAGCTAGGGATACTACAAGGCAACAAAGAAGATATCTTGCAAGCCCGCACTAGTGTCGCTTTCTTTCCTCACGGCTTGGGACATTACCTCGGTATGGACACCCATGACACCGGTGGGCACCCCAACTACGAGGACAAGGACACGATATTCCGCTATCTAAGAGTCAGAGGCGCCCTCCCAGCTGGGGCAATAATTACAGTTGAGCCTGGAGTGAGTATTCGCGGTCCTTCATTCCGGTCATCTTTAACATTTGTAGATATATTTCTGTCGATTCATCATCGAGCCGTACTTGAGAGACCCCATTCATGCTGCGTATATCAACTTTGATGTTCTCACTAAGTTCTGGGACGTGGGGGGCATAAGAATTGAGGACAACATCCTGATCACGAAGGACGGCTATGAGAATCTGACCACTGCCGTCAAAGACGTTGCTGACATGGAGAGGTTGATCAATGGATAACGATCGGGAGCCGTCTGCTCTGCGCAGCGTACGTCACTGCGGTCTCTAAATCCAAGTGGACTGCGCTATATGTTTCTGGACCCTTGGAATGAAAGCACCGCAACAGAAAATTGCTAAATGAGCGTTTCCTTACCCATATCACATTCTGAGCTATGTTTGAGTATGGCACGATGGTATGATCATTTAACGCCACATCTCCTCATGCATAGGCATCCATTCGGTGCTACATACATCATCTAGGAGCATTCTTGAGTTGTTTGAGAGCCGCCGACTCCCTTCAAATGTACCGCAATCTGTCCGACCGTCAATGTGAATACAAAGTGGCCGAGGCGACAAGGTAGTCTAAGTCAGAGCGTCATATTCTTCTCCCTCTACGTGAATAGATGCCAGCATCGTGAGTTCTTAGCCAAGCCGCGTGGGCGCTAGAAGCAGCATCAGCTGTACTAGATCCTTCCCACTCTAGAAATGGGGTGACGTCCATTCCTCCAATTTTGATCTCCTCACGAGGGTTATAAACTAACCTGTTTTCAGCTCATCTGAGAAGATGGAGTAACAACGCTGTATGCCCAGGTTGGTTCCAACACCCGTTAAGTGTATAGTGTCAGCAACTCGACGGTTTCCAGATATGCTCGAAATTTCGAACTACCCTCTCTGCGTTCCAAATGTACGATTTCATATTGTAAATAACTCTCGGCCATTGGTCACTGACTCGAGGATCATTCAGTCCTTCCACCTGTTTAAAAACCTCTGCATATCATCCGTCGGTGAAGATGCCGCAGCAACCTACGTGTGTTAGTAGTGATAGCCGGCGACGGAGCGTGCTACATACAGTATTTGCTCTACTGGAGATGCTATATGTGTTGGACTGAGTGAGAGTCGTCACTTCACTTGGTACTGGTAGAAACGTGGTGGCGAACTGCACAGCAGACGTTGGCCATAGCGGAGCGGTATTGGTAGCAATTATTGCCGTTGGAGGGACAGGTTGCATCGGCGCATATTTCGTGAGACCAGTTTGAAAGTTATACGGAGTCGCCCAAGCGTCTTCACCGATTGTTCCTGTGGCTGCATTCGAGATAACATTATTGACCGTTGGTGGACCAGAAGTACCTGAGATAACCTTGACAGCTGCAGCAACTGTTGGATCGAATATACCCGTCATACCAGTAAGTGTAAATCGATTAGAGTAGTTCCAGACGGTACCCCCAGCTGTAGCGACAGACAGCATTCCAAGGAAACTACGAAAAATCAGCGGATTGCGTTCATTAAATTTGATGTGTGGGATAACACACTATGCATTTGTACCAATCCCACCAGTAGCTACTGGGACTGTGACGCTCACGGATTTTCCTGCCGCTGCAAAAGTGGAAGCTGATAGCTGATATAGTTGTGCAGGCGCTGCATTTGAGCCAGAAAATAGGAACAAGGTGTACGATGAGAGGTCTGCCAGAGCAGGTGCATCTCCTGTGTCATCCCATGTGACAGTGAAAGCTGTTCCACCGGCTATCGATGCTCCAGCAGCCGGCGCTGTGATTTTGACATCGGCCGATATCAGCGGAAGGATGACAGCGAGGACTTGGAAAGTCGAGAATCGCATAGTGATAGCTCTGATATGTTGCCCGTCGTCTAGGGGCTTACAAAAGAACGAATGACTGAGCTTGAGTATTCTATATTAGTTGTGCGATGAAATTCAGTGCGATAGTCCGTAGCGGGTTGCAGCTTCCAGGTGGTTTGTGGTGTACTGCAAAGAATCCGAACAGGAACAAAGTTGGTGAGTGAACTGAGGTGGAGTGAGGTGATGGATGAAGTCCAACGGAACCTAGTGCATGAGTGCAGACGCCCAGGCGCCTCAGAGGGCTTAATGTAGGTCCATAGGCAAGGTACCTTGTGTAGAGGTGTCTTATCGTTATCGAATGTCACTACTGCGTAGGCTGGTGGACCCCGCACCGTGGGTAACCGCTGTCTCGCATTATTCATCTATAAAGGTACCTCCTATTGAAATCCCGCATTTTACCTCGAAGCATAAACACAAACTCGATAGTCAGACACCATTACCTTTCAGTCTGTATCCGGTTATCGTCGCCACACTCCCTTTCACCCATCAGCAGCCATGCCTATAACATCAAAACAAACTGTTCCGCCAGCCATGGCGATGAGTGCCACCGAGTTAATTGGGAACACTCCACTCGTGCGTCTCAATAAGATCCCTCAGAGCCTAGGAATTGAAGCCGAAGTTTATGCAAAAGTCGAGCTTTTCAATGCAGGTGGTAGTGTGAAAGACCGCATCGCATTAAGGATGATCGAGGAGGCGGAGCGGTCGGGAAGAATAAAACCTGGAGACACTCTGATCGAGCCCACAAGCGGAAATACGTATGGTTGGCTTGCAATTGACTTGAAGAAAATCTGACGGTTCGCAGCGGAATTGGTCTCGCACTTGTTGGAGCAATCAAGGGCTACAAGACCATCATCACTCTCCCCGAGAAGATGTCGCCGGAAAAAGTAGCCGTTCTTCGAGCACTTGGCGCCACGATTATTCGTACTCCAACTCAAGCCGCCTTTGATTCCCCGGAGTCGCATATCGGTGTAGCCAAAAGACTACAGAAGGAGATCCCCAATTCGCATATTTTGGATCAATATGCAAACAAAGACAACCCTCTGGCCCATGAATACGGAACCGCACAAGAGATATGGAGCCAGACCTCTGGACAAATCAAAGCAATCGTGGCAGGTGCTGGAACTGGAGGGACAATTACTGGTTTGTCGAGAGGTCTGAAGAAGTATAATCCTGATATCAAGGTCATTGCTGCCGATCCATTTGGCTCTATTCTTGCTCTGCCAGAATCGTTGAACCAAGAGCACGCAAATGAAGCATACAAAGTCGAAGGAATCGGATATGACTTCATACCAGACGTATTAGACCGCGGGGCAGTCGATGTATGGTACAAGACGGACGACCGAGAGTCTTTTGCGTATGCCAGAAGACTCATTGCTGAAGAGGGTCTCTTGGTCGGGGGCAGTAGTGGAAGTGCAATTGCTGCCATGGTCAAGGGCGTTAAGGAACTTGGCCTTGGTCAAGGTGACATTGTAGTGGTTGTCTTACCAGACAGCATTCGCAGCTATCTCAGCAAATTCGCCGACGATGATTGGCTGGCAGCAAACGATCTTCTTCCCCCAACACCTCCGACGACGTCGCCCCCGTCGCCCATTCTTCAATCTTCGTCGACCAAGAAGGATCCTTACCATGGAGCCACTATCAAGAGTCTCCGACTAAAACCCGTGACAACAGTTTTGTCCAACACACCATGCACAGAAGCTATAGAAACCATGAGGGAAAAGGGATTCGACCAACTTCCTGTCCTTGCACCAACTGGAGGAAAGCTTGTCGGCCTGGTTACTCTCGGCAACCTTCTGAGTTGGATTAGTCGTGGCCGAGCAACAGGCAAGAGTCCAGTCTCAGATGTCATGTTTGGCTTCTCTTCGATCCCGGAGGTTGTCACAGATGCCAAAGATATCAGCAATCTATCCGAAGCACCAAATTCCAACGGTATCGAAGAAGGTTCAAACGGAAAGACGCAGAAAACACCGAAGAGAAAGTTTGTAGAGATCACAGTAGATACCCCGCTTTCTGCGCTGAGCAAGTTCTTTGAGTGGAATAGTGCTGCTATTGTAACAGAGAAGAGCAGCGCCGAGAGCAGTGGGCTTTCGAAGCCAGTGGCAGTTGTCACCAAGGTTGATTTGTTATCCTGGATGGTCAAGCAAACCTCCATATAATTTTAAATGAGAATATGTGGTAAACGGAGTGGCGTTTGGTGTTGGTGCTAGGTCAAGTAGATTCAACAACTACATGTCCGCTGGGAGAGCTCCGGGGCACGTGGGCAACTGACTAGCAAGATGCAGAAATCAATTTCAACTGACTGCGGGAGGCAATAAAGCATTGTGCTATGTGCAAATAGTATGACTTGGAACTGCAACCATAAGATGATTCATGGACCATGTATGCATGTTGTGGCGCCACTGCTGCAATGACTGTGAATTTTGAATCTCAGTTGCTTGACCTCTTGCCTGTACTGCACAAGGGTGGCCGCCAATGAATCTAGCCCAGATGAACAACTCACCATTTTCGCTGGATCTGCTCGTTTAGTTTGAGGCTTAGCTATATTGGCGATGATGATACCAGCGACTTCCACATGGCAGCAGAATACAGACGTTCTGTTGTATGTAAGGTTGCCTGATGGGTGCTGTAGAAGATCAGAGTGTTCAGAATGATTGATGTTCTTTTGATCCGCCCAGATATCAAAGCCTCTGTGAAATCCATTCCCACCACCTTTCCACCGTAGGATCATCCCCAAGAATATTGCCCCCAACGACTTCTATCGCGATATCAAACTCCTCCATCTGCGAGAACTTGAATTCTTCAGATCCCATCTCCCCTAGCCAGTCGTCTTTCTCGTTAACATCATCATCCATACCAATTCCAGAATCTAAAAGTCCCTTCGATCTTGACACCCTGACTTTTGAGACTGCACCTTCCAGACTACTCTTCACTAAAGCCACCGGGAGTGCAGTAAAAAGATCCATCTTGTTGGCTGCGATCAAAATTGGAATTGCTTTCAAAGCCTTTGTCGTCTTGGTTCCCACCCTCTTCTGCAGGACCAAGAGGAAATCATGCAGAAAATCGGCCGTTTGCCTCAGACCCTCATCTCCTGCGGACAACGTAGCAGCATCGACGACGAAGATAAGGCCTTTTAGGTTTTGCAGTTTTGTGATACATTCTAGGGCATGGTGTCGCAGTTTACCATGGCCAGGAGTATCGACCAAGAGGAACTTCTTGTGTACGTGGCTCGAGGGGTCGTTGGCCGAGCGGTACTGGTTCGACTTGGCCACTGTCCCAACGGGAAGATGGCATTCTACGGCGATCGGAGTTTGTGAGGTATGTGTTGATGCATTTGCGCCCCGTTCAAACTATCTGAATGTCAATTTTCGCTGTGCCGAATTTGAAATGGGGTAGTACCAAGGTTAGCAGGGAAGTCTTTCCAGAGCCACTGGGTCCGACCAGAACGATATATGGTAGAGTTACGAGTCCGCTGGTCCGGAAGACGAAGCCATGAAGTAAAATAGGGATTGAAATGGCGAGAACGATGGCAATGAAGAGGCCGATAGGTGAAGGAGTGAGTAGTGACTGCGCCCACTTTTCAATTGTTGATGAAGACATTGTTACCAAACTTTTCTCGAGACCGCAGAGCTTGAGCTCCGGCGTCGCTGTCGCTCAACTGGTGGTTATGCAAGGTGGGGAGAATGAACTTGAAGGTGATGGGTCAGGCGAGCAGAGCTGCTTCTGAACCGACGAGGCTTAGACCCTGGTACATAATTCATCAGCCTCGCGAATTACAGTCCAAGCCCCTGGGAATTACAACCTCCGCAGAAAGCCTCTCGGCCAGCTTATCTCCATCTATCTATCTGTATCCATCGACGACGGCATGTATCGATCGCTCACATGCCCATAGCTCGTCACTTGCCATCAACACACGCGCCCAATTGTCCACCAGCCAGGCCCAACCCCTTTGCCGCATTGGCCGTGTGCTCAACATGCCCGACGCAAAAATCGCAGCAGCGACAATCCAAAACAACTCGTTGATGCTTTCCAACGGAATTGGAAAGGCTGCGGCAGTTGCGCCCAAGCTGAGCGATGATGACCACGTTGAGATGGAAGATATGCTTCCATCGGCGCTGGAGCATAGTCCCGAAGACGATATCATGCAACTTGCACGACTAGGAGACATCCAAGGAATCGAGAGACTTTACGAAAGCGGCAAATTCGATGCCAGATATTGCGATACTGAAGGAATCACTCCATTACATGTAGATAGGTCTCGAATGTTTTTTCTGAACAAAATTGCTGATTAGTTTCAAGTGGGCCGCAATCAACAACCAGTATGCAATGTGCCAATTTCTATTGAAAGCGGGAGCCGACGTCAACAAGAAAGGAGGAGAATCGGTGGCTACTCCTGCTATGTGGGCGGCACAGAGGTGTCATTATTACACCGTGCATCTTTTGCTTGAACATGGCGCGGATCCTCTAGTCACCGACGTTCAAGGTTATAATATCCTCCACCTTGCCACATTCGAAGGCAACATTTTTCTGCTTGTCCTCTTGCTACATCAGAATATCAATGTTGATATACCCGATTTCCAAGGGCATACTTGTTTGATGTGGGCGGCGTATAAGGGGTATCCTGCATGTGTCGATTTGTTCTTGAGATGGGGAGCCGATGTTCATTCTACGGACGAAACTGGATTTACGTCGCTACACTGGGCTCTTGTTAAGGGGTCGCAGGGCTGTATTCAGAAACTTGTTGAATATGGCTCGGATCGGTTTGCCGAAACGTCGACGGGGAAAACTCCAGCTATTACTGCCGAGGAGATGAAGACGCAAAGGATGTGGCACCGAGCCTTAAAAGAATGCGGGTATGACGAGGATGCCATGCCAAGAAGTCCCGAGTTTCCAATGTCCTCGTGGCTACTGAAAGATAAGCGCGGGTTCATGAACAAGTTCTTCTTCTTTTGGCCATTCCTGATAATCTGGACCATGGTTATGATTTCAAGTCACATGGTCGTATTTGCAGGTCTACCTCTAGCTCTCTTGTCAGGCTATACGATGCAATGGGTCGCGCTACAATTAATGGAGTATGCACCCTCTGACATGAGGCATATCCACAAAACTGTAAGGTCTTTGATAGTATTGAGGAGCCGCACTGACTGATTAGCCTTGGCTGGCAGGAATATTTGCTGGAACTCTTTTCTGGGTGGGACTCAGGTGGTTAACACATATACTTCCTGGTAGGAGTTCCATACCCCATCTCGCTACCCAGCTAATAAGCTTCAGGGACCTTCTCTGCGTTCCCTTTCAGTAACACTGTGTTCGGAATATCCTACAGTCTGTGTGGCTATTTTTATTTCTGTACAATGGCTTATGAGCCTGGGTTCGTTCCAAAGCTGGGCGGACTCACTCAACAGAAAGCTATAATTGACGAACTACTCGCCTTGTGGAAATTTGACGAGAGCAACTTCTGCGTCCATTGCATGGTTAGACAACCATTAAGAAGCAAGCACTGCAAAAGATGTAATCGCTGTGTGGCAAAGCATGACCAGTAGGTTGTTGTTGTGATCTCCATGCACAGTTCTGATACTCTTGTAGTCATTGCCCATGGGTGTACAACTGCATCGGGATCAATAACCATCGTCAATTCTTCCTCTATCTGATTTTTCTGGAACTTGGCCTGTTCTTCTTAGTGAGGATCGCCTTAGGTTGTGAGTTACCCCGTCCCAATTTCGGCACAAGTCTAATTAGCATGCAGACTTCGAAACTATGAGAGAGAATGGAAGTCCAGACTGCAATATGTTGGCAGAACCCTTATGTCGCATTGTAAACTCGGATCCTTACACTTTAGTCTTAGTTATCTGGGGTGTGTTACAGCTGACATGGGTTACCATGCTGCTCTTTGTTCAATTGGTACAGATTTCCAGAGCCATGACGACGTGGGAGAATATGAGGGGATCGCACCACGACCACGGAAACAAGATTTCAGAAGCGTTTACGTCGGCGCTCACGACTGGCACAACATCCCGAGCTGGAGCTCAGATTGGCAACATAGGGCTGGGCCCTGATCCGGCTCTGCCTCCTACACACGCCCCTAGGCACAATCATCATCACAAGGCCGGCTGTTTTGCGCAATGGAAGAAGATTCTTGGCGTGGATACCTTCGTGGAGACGGCTCTCGACTACAATGGGGGCAATCGTCCTCGGCGTAACCGAAATCCATTCTCGAACGGGTGCGTGGGAAACTGCAAGGACTTCTGGTGTGATCCAGCACCAGTGTTTGGAAAGAGGGAGAACGGCACTGCAATGCTCGGGGGCCAGGTGGTGGACTACACGGCCATGTACGAGACACCTCGGCTGATGACAATGAGGAGAGGTGAAGGGGCATACGAGAGTGTGCCTGCGGACGACAGCGTATGATATTGGACAAAGCATAACCCAGGTAGCACATTATATCAATTTAATGACGAGAAGCCTGCTTTCTATGGGATGACTTCTCGCAAAGAACCGAGCTTGACTTTGCTAATTATACCTGAAGCTACCCCGTCATCCTCCTTAACGTCTCGGTCCGGAGAGGGACTGTTCTCAACAGTAGGCCCGACACACCGGAGCCGATAGCAGTTCCCGCTGTTAGCATTAGATCCGAGTCTCGCTTAGAGGGCAAAAGCTAAATGCAAGGGGCCAAGGCAAGTCAAAATTTGCTGGACCGAGGCAAGAATTGGCTGATATAGGGGCGCAGGCTGGCAGGGGTGCTTGAGTGGCGTTGGTTGCAAGAAATAATAAAAGAACCCTCCGCTTCTGTTGATCTAGTTTGGTCCTCCCATACTGTAGTACTGTATGTAGAAGAAAGCTTCACAGCATCAGCAATTCAATCTTGGACGGATTCATGAAACTAAGTTCTGCGATGCTAGGTGACGTTAGAGCAAGAACACTGCACTCAAGTATATCCCTCCCTATGCTCCTAATGCTTGCATGCATCTGGTGCATAAACAATAATGTACGAATTGGAACACAAAGATTGCGCCCATCTCGCCTCGCCGGGAAATGTCGGATCTACGGTGGTATGTCGGCTGACTAGGTAGTCATGATCCCAGTACGTTGAGGCTGAAACTCCATAATTAATCCCTGTCGTGCAACCAGCGCCATGCAGACTTTTTCACTGACAGCGTCAGTTTCACATCAGCATTACTGAACTGTATAATAGTCTGTATTGGTAGCTTTGGATGGACCACAGCCAGAAACGCTGCTGCTGACCATGACATGGCTGGCTTTTGCAAAGACGACTTCTCTCACTCCGTAGATGCACTTCACTTCACTTCATATGCCAGCAGTGGAAAGTTATCTCTGCAGATAGAAACGCATAATCCATGGATAATCCATGAGCACGAATTCCGTGACTCGAGCATGCCCGCCCGCAAGAAGCAAACAGGGAATGAGACAGAAATCTTTCTGTCTTATCCACTCACCCACTCCCAATATCCGCGATCTTCCGATCCAACCACTGCTCCCTTGAGCTCCACGGCACATCCAGCATGTGCGACCCTGCTGTCCAGTTGTTGCTCTTCAAAGCTTTGTTATCACCCACTCTGGGACCCGTTCTCAGATCCACCCATATAGCATTTGAGCCTCAAAGAGGACAAGTGACCTTGAGGCCTCAAACCCAATCGAGCTTTTTCCGCCTGCCGGCCAACACCCTCAGACCACTGCGTGGAGGGAGCTCTTAGACGAGAGCGGTTTTCTGTCCTCGCGTTCCCGAAAAAATTCTTTTCCTCGAGCTTCCATCCTTTCTGCTGCCTCTTGAAATCATCAATTCCAGCACAGCTTCACCACTCCTCTCCATCTTCTCCAGACTTTTGTCCTTCCAATTATCTCCACATCTCACACACCCTCACACACAATGGCCGCACGCATGTTCGCCCCAAAGGTTGCCTCTCTCATGGGATCAACCTCTACAAAGGTCGCTCGCCCTGTCATCCGTAGCAGCGTCAAAGCCAATGCTGTCTCCCAGCGCGCCTTCTCTGGTATGAACCATCCAAATAAAGCTTTTCAGCGGTCAATGGCTGTCTGCCACGCTCAACTGATGGCTTAAACTGAACTGACAATTGGCACAGGTGTCCGCTCCAGCACCCCTTTCCAGACCATGAAGCGTCAGCAAGCTTCCCAAATCCTCGCTGCCACCACCCGTAATGCCATGGGCCGCCAAACCACTCGTTCATTCAACTCTGAGATCGCCACTGCCATGGTTCAAGTCTCCCAGAACTTGGGTATGGGTTCCGCTGCCATCGGTCTTGGTGGTGCTGGTATCGGTATCGGTATGGTCTTCGCCGCCCTCTTGACCTCCGTCGCCCGTAACCCAAGCATGCGTGGACAACTCTTCTCTTACGCCATTCTCGGTTTCGCTTTCGTTGAGGCCATCGGATTGTTTGATCTCATGGTTGCCATGATGTGCAAGTACGTGTAAATGGATGATACCATTGGTGGAAGTTTAGGGCGAGGAAGGCTGTGGGATAGACTATAGATGGATAGACCATAGACGATAGACTGTACAGTACTCTTCTAGAAGCATTAGAATCGATGGAAAATTAGCATTTAGCGGTCTGCCGTTCCTAACAATTTTCTTTGAGGCTCATCTGTGCAAGACTGAATGGAAACGCATAGCTACCATGTTCGGACAGAAGCTCACCACTCGGAAAGCTCGAAGCAGGATACGGTTGGAATGAGCTTGGAAGCCAACCAGGGTTGTGCAGCAGTACTGTTGTCTCGTAACGCATCAGTACTGTATGGTAAGAGGCCTCAGTAAGGGCTCATTGGTGGAATTCTTGTGCAACTGTAGACACGATGCCTTTGGATGGGTGTGTTCAGCTGGGGACTTTAAGAGTCCCAGTTCCTTCACCGGCGTTATAGTAGACCAGTGAGCGAAAATAGACACATATGCCAACGTAGCGTGATCAAAGAAAGTCGGATATGGAGTACAATGTAGCAACAGTGTGAATTGGATCAGGAAGAAGAAACCTGGATTGAGGGATAGAAGGCTGGATAGAATTTGACGTGTTGATGATGGAGGAAGAAAAAAACAGAGAGAGAGAGAGAGAGAGAGAGAGAGAGAGAGAGAGAGAGAGAGAGAGGGTGGGACGAAGGTCGGAAGGAGAGCAAGCATGGAGGCGGGAGGGCTTGGACACCAGGTTAAATTTACCTTGGTCTGTCCGGGGACCCCGCACAGGACGAATCCAATCGTCCAATGAGACTGAACGCCACCTAACACTGTCCAAAGTCACCATCGAATCATGATTCATGGCACAAAGACATGAGATGAGATGAGATGAGATAAGATAAAAATGAGATGAGGTGAGATTAATGTAACTTAACACGAGTAAAAAAACGCTCGCCTCGGATGAGATCAATACAGATGCAAATTCCAAAAAAAAAAAAAAAAAAAAAAAAAAAAAAAAATCAAACAATGGATACCCTGATGCGAATATCGAAATACTGTTTAGCTAAGTAATGCACGGAAAGATCGCCATACGCAGGCATGTCATCATTTCAGCCCTGATGCTGAACTAAGCCGGCACGCCACGCCTGCATGGTCTGGATAGCCCCAATCCTTACCTCGGGAAGCAGAGGAGGGACGGGCGGTTTAAGATATGTCAAATCTGCTACCTATACAGGCAGTACACAACTGTCCTTGAATTCACTTTTAGGCGGCAACTTTCACATATCGTCCTCTCTCGACCCTGTCTCCACCACAAACCAAGTAAGTGACACCACTTAAAGGTCTCTACTTCCACTTCTTCTGTTCTTCGCGTCTGGAGAAGACGGACGCGATCATGACGCTGGCGCCAGAACCGTATACTGTCTCCATTCCTCAGGATAAGATCGACAGCTTGAAGACTAAGCTATCTCTTGCCGAGTTTCCTGACGAACTGGCAGCGTCAGAATGGGATTTGGGTGTACCATTGGCGGACATGAAAAGGCTCACAAAGGCTTGGGAGCAATGGGATTGGAGAGAAGCAGAAATACGCCTCAATCGGGTTCCTCAGTTCCATACTCCAATCAATATAGAGGGGTTCGGTGATCTGGATATCCATTTCGTGTGGCAAAGAAGCGAAGTGAAGACCGCCATCCCGCTTCTGTTTGTTCATGGATGTACGTTGTCGTGCGACCCATGAGTCTTTGGTATAAGCTTACCAATGATAGGGCCAGGATCTTTCATAGAAGTGCTAAAAATACTTCCGCTACTCTCCAAACCTGGTGGTCCAGCTTTTCACGTTGTTGCGCCGTCTCTTCCTAATTTTGGATTCAGCGAAGGACCGAAGAAACGAGGTTTCGCCGCTGCACAATATGCAGAAACTTGCCATAAGTTGATGCTGTCTCTCGGATACAACGAATATGTAACGCAAGGAGGCGATTGGGGCTTCACAATCACACGTTCAATCGGCTATCTGTATCCAGACCACTGCAGAGCAAGTCATATCAACATGGTCCATGCCCATCCACCAACATTTATGAAAAATCCTGTGCTTGCACTGCAACACTCTCTCACGTCTTACTCTCAAAGAGAGGAGGATGGATTCAAGCGCACGAGGTGGTTCTCCAAGGAGGGTAGAGGGTACAACCTAGCACAGTCAACGAAGCCGCAGACCTTGGGCAAGTCCTTCGAATTCCAGTATTTGTCGACTTCATGCTAACTCTGTCCAGCTTACGCTTTGAATGACTCACCGGTGGCCCTCCTAGCCTGGATCTATGAGAAGCTACACGACTGGACGGATGGTTATCAATGGAAAGATGACGAAATCCTTACATGTATGTATTGGAGAAGCCCGGTGCTTCCTCATCCAATTATTTCATGATATCTCATGGTTTCAGAGAGACATAGAGGCAGCCACTTGCTAACTAGCCTTTTCTTAGGGATAAGTATTTACCAATTCAGTCGCATGGGACCTGGGGCAGCACACAGGATCTATTACGAAGTGCAGCACACTCAACCAGGACCAGGGAAGACGACTTCTGCAGAGACCAGTGGATACATTTGTGTGAAACTGGGACTGGGTAGGATCTTAGACACCTTGTATACGTGTATCCTGACAAGTGAACAGCATACAATCCCAAGGAATTAATGGTATATCCGAAAACATGGTGTCGTACTCTGGGCCCAGTGGTTTACGAATCCTATAACAACTCCGGAGGTCATTTTTACGCTACTGAGCACCCTGAATGGTTAGCAAGGGATTTGAGGACGATGTTCGGGAGAGGTGGTGGAGCTTTTGGTGCTGTAAAGAACAACAATGGTTATGGTAGCGACCGGGCAAGACTTTAAGTATGTAGGAGGTGGATCTCGGGAGAATTTTGCGTGTTGGGTCTTGTATAGAAGGGTTACTAGATCAATTGTCGCTTGGCGTAGTCGTTGTGTTGTATGGTAAAGATTTGTATGACAAGCAGACCCCCTCTTTTGGCTAGAGTCCCGTGTATAATAGTACAATGACTCGCGTAGATGATATGATGATGTCTCGAAGCTTGTAAATCCATCTCAGGCCGGGATGCAATAGTATCACATGTATAGCCAGACAGATAATGGCCAAATGGAGCTGCAAGCAGACTTTCTTAGTGAATGCCTTGCCTTACCCTGCCCTGTCACTGTTGATTCTCCCACGACGTATTATTCGCTGGCCAGCGCTATATATGCACCTGTCGCGCATCTCCATCCGGTAGGTGTAACTGTAACCACCATATGTCCGCCACTGGTCTGTACTCGGCCGCAATCGCGCCATCTTTTCCCTCGCAGTATAAAAGCCTGGGCCTGTGAAAATATTGTGCCTCGATTGACCGCGCTGCTAATGGTATGTTCCCGTTCAACTTGCGAGACCAACATCTGGCGATTACAACGCTGGATGCTAATTCCATTTTCTAGCCTCCCCAGCGACATCTCCCACCTTCTACACTGCCTGTAATTCAGGACAGGGAATTTCAGTGTAAACTTCAACGTGTTGAGAACTCCTAAAATATTTGCCTTTTTACCTTGCCCGGAACGTAACTAATAATACGATTGTCATCAGAAGGTCCGTCGACGTGCCTCAAAGACATGTGACCCATGCTGAAGCAGGTAAATGAAATGTGACGACAAAACTGCCATGTACGGGATGTTAAGTCTACGGATATGACTGTGTGTACATCGATGCTCGCTCTTAAAGGAAAGCATCGGTCATGGCGAGGTCAATCTCAAAGTCATCGCCTCTGGAGGTGAGAGTTTCTAAGCCAGTTCGAAAAGTGCTTCATCTTCTGGCTCATATATGGTCTCAGAAAGCGTTTTCCACGCTCCGCATGCAGTCTACTGCTTCATCAGTCTCTGAAAACCATGTTCACGACTGCAGATAGTGCTACTTTCACCCTCAAAGTCTTGGGATTGCTCTAGGAATGGAGACCCCACCAAGACTACGGTCATTATTTGGTCTGAAGCCCGGTACACGAGCTGAAGTAAAGGCTGCGCATGAACACAGTATCTGCAATTCCATCGCGTTGGATCAGTTAAACCAATATTCAGCCGTGTGTTTCAACGAAATACACCAACTCTTTGATATATTTGACGAAGATATGCTCAAGAGGCAGTGCGCGGACTCCTTCTTCTCGCCAGATTTAAGCCGAGTGGATCAAGCGTTGTTTTGTAGCGTGGTTGCTCTGGGTTCATACCTCTTGGGATCCGCGTCTTTTCATGCCGAAACAGGAATAAGGCATGGGCAAAGTCTCCTGGAGAGCAGCACAGCACATGCGCCTGCGCCTGCGCTCCTCTCACTGAAACATGTTGCAGCATGGATTCCAAGAGCAGTATATCTTCGACCCACCTCTCTTGGATGGCGATGTGCGCTGCTGTACATATTGCGGAGGCAATCGAACTCCGCAGAGAGATCAACGACAGTCAGATGAGGTGAACACAGCCTGTGTAGTCACAGAACTGGAGATAGACATCAGGAGGAGGATTTTTGGGTCACAGCTGTACAGCATCACTTCTTTGCCTCTGAGCATGGGAGGACAGCTGTACCGCTTGACATCACCGGCTTCCACATCTGCAGCCCCGAGATGGAAGTTACAGGGGACATGTGTGTCTCATGCAGTCTATACCGTAGACTATTCCGTCCGTCAGCATGTTGGAGAGTATGAACGCCCCTGACGAAAGCATTATCGATCTGAGCTAAAGCTACGATTTTTACTTCTTGAAAGCACACGCAAATTTCTGTGTCTTCAGAAAAGCGAGATCGTTTTCATCGCTGGATGTTGTACGGCTACCCTTGATGGTGTCACCTTCCTGTTTAGAATGCGGCAGCCGTGGTGGAATGTTGTCGGGGCACGTTGTTGGGGCACCTGTCCGCAGTATCTCTGTACTTCTAGCAATGGAGACGCCAGGGAGATTTTCGATGGTACCTCTCGCTATGAAAACATTAGAGAAGGCAACCACACAAGTCGACTCCCGCCAGCCCAGAGAAGCATTGAGGACTGCTCACTCACTTGTATCCGCAGCTCGTGAGAAAAAGAGTCGAGACATGAGCTGGGACTTGGAAAACTTGGACAAGGCTGTTCGGGTTCTCAACGGAGTGCCTTTCTCAGTGTATCAGGAGGAACTGTTACAGACTCTTTTAACCGAGTGAGATCCAGGCCCCAATATTGTTGTATACTATAACCCTATTCATTGGCCCCGTGCTAGGGCCCTTGATAGGTGGTTTCATTGACGAGTCTACCATCTGGTCAGTACCAAGGTCATCGATTGCCTGACATTCCTCTTACTAACCACCAGAAAACGAGGGGATGGACTTTGTATGTTCTTCTTATATGGACAAAACTCACATGTATCTCGCTGATCCTCATTCCCGAAACCTATCACTCGGTCTTGCTCGCCAGAAAAGCCGCTGCTGTTCGGGAGCGTTATCAGAACAGCAGCTATTACTGGGCATTCGAGCATGTCAATGTCTCGAAGTCAATTTTGCAGACCATATCTCATTACCTGCATCGACCTCTTCAACTGCTTCTGCTAGAAACGATGTGTCTGTGTTTGTGTCTGTCCTCTGCGCTCCTCCTTGGAATTCTCTACCTCTTCCTTGGCGCCTACCCTTTCGTATTCAAAGTCAATCATTGCTTTGACTTGTGGGAAACAGGGCCCAACTTTCCTTGGCTTGACGATAGGCATGTTAATTGTTATGTCTTCCAATTCCATCTGGCATCGAAACTATGCCCGCTTGGTAACCCGATCAAGGAGAGCTGTAAATGACGAGCAGCTGGAGCCGGATCCGGATTTCGCCTCCCCCTGCTATCGCGCGCAGGGTTTGTATTCCAGTCGGACTTTGTACATTTCGCCTGTTTCTCGATCTCTCAACGAGCATGCCAGCTAATGTGAGTTTCACAGTGGTTCGGTTGGACGACATTTAATTCGATGCACTGGGTCGTCCCGATTGTTGGCAGTGTCTTCTTTGGTTTAGAGTCAGTATGGGCAGAAGCTACTTAATTCGTTGCTGACAATAACAGCTTGATATTTACCAGCATCTTTACCTTTCTAAGGGATGCGGACCTCGTCTATGCTGCAAGTGTACTGGCGGCCAACACTCTTTTGCGTTGCATCTTCGCAGCCTCTTTCCAAATTTTTTGTGAAACAAAGTAAGTCTTCATTTCTCTATTTCGTGGGTTCTAGTTACTACGATGCATAGTTTATGGAAAACTCTGCTTTTAGTGCGCTAGCACGCTGCTGGCCTTGGTGGCAGTGGCTGATGCCGTTCCCGTGAGCCCCGTCTTCTCGTCTGTACGATCTCATTATTTACTGACACTCCATAGATACTTGTTCCTCCGATATAAGAATGCCGAGAGCCAGGAGCAGATTCGCTTCAACTCAGTAGCGAAATCTCGATCTCGTGGTCAGGTTCTTAACCAAGCAGGCTGTGGGCTTGTAGGGAGAGGGGCGAATTGAACCTGGCGTACAGATACCAAGGTACTAGCAACATGGGGATGCCGTATATGGGGATGTGATCATAGAAATTTTCGGGTCGCTCTAGGCAATATGAGTGGGAATCACCCAACAAAGCCGTGGGCTCCAAGATAGCAACCGATTGTTATCACCCAAGTCCTCGTTGTCATTTTCAGATATCTCCCTGACATCGTAATCCCAGCGGACCAGTAATCCCCATCGCTATTCATCTCACAAGGCTTTGTTGCAAGTCGCAACACAGGGGCCTACCGAGCCGGCCAACCGCAAACAGTCCCACAGCGTCCGTGGCTCCCGAAGCCGCAGTCGGGTGCATCTTATTACCGAGATCTGTAAAGCATCTTTTGACTTTTCGAGTGGATCTTCTATTGGAGTTCCCGGAATGCCGTGATGGGAGGAAGATGATGGAAAGTGGGACGGAAAGTTTACAGTAGTTGACCACGAGATGTGCTTGGGTTCTATTGGGTGGCTCGTGTAGTTTCGCTGGGTTGTAAGCGAGTTTCGGCCTGGCTGCCGACTGCATGTTGACGAAAGCCCCTCTCAAACCCAAAATACTCGACTGATTCAGAGGCGAGAGAGGGTGTAAATATGGGCTTCGCAGAGGATTTGCGCTACTTGGAGTTCCATCTTTTCCGTGAAGCATTATCGCAGCTGGAGGTTATTTCCAGCTGAAAAAAAGATCAGTAAGGTAAATCGTCTTTATGTGGGCTGAAACGGCACTCTGGGAGTGTTTGGCTAGGCGAATGTCAATAAACTAAAAGCGCAACAGCCTTCCTAGATAGGACATGATCGACGCATGTCGATCTACACACAGATCTTGTCTGCAACATGCCACCCACGACGAAGAGCATTCCGTGCCCATTGAAACCATTCCTTCGGCGAGCTGGCCCGATTTCCTAGGGCCTATATCGATATGCAAGCCATTGGCGTCGTGGCCCATATTTACATCCAAATAGCCGGCATGACCTAGAGCGGCTTCAGTGACAGCTCATTTTATCAACCTTCTGTCCATTCTTCGATGTTGCTTGTGGAGGGCCCTCACGGAAAACGATTAATCCTATTAATATTTGGATTTATTACCAAGCACGAGAAACAATCGCCTTCAGGATTAAGACTCTGTTAACATAATAAGATGGGCGCGCGACAATGCTCTTTTGACTTTTGATAGTCTGTCTCTGGGACAAGCTATCACGATTATGGCGTCTACGGCTTGTTATCTCAAGTCGTGCATTTGTACCAGCCGCGGCAAAATTGGGCAAATAAGCAGTTGAGGAATAGACAATTCACCTTTGGCGTATGGCTTACACATTACTCGTCCACTCTGTGATCCATAGGGTTCTTATCACCGCGAAGGCAGG